CGTAGCAGAGAATCCTAGACTACACACAGCAGTAGCTCCAAGGCTACAAACAGCAGGATAATAAAAGGTAGCAACACTAGAAGCATCAGAATACAGAGAATATAAGGCATGGTCAATCTGAATCATATCCATATCAAATATAGGAACTCCACGACGAAGCAAGACCGGCCAGGAGGGAACGTGCACCAGGGGGCCGAAGTGACGATGGTAGGGGTCGTCCAGGCGGCGGAAGCAGCGAGCGGCGGTGTGCCCCACGCGCCCGCACATTTGGCCTGCCTGTGGGCCAGTCAGCAGCTGGTATGTGCAGGTTAGTGCGTTACGCGAGCGCGATAGCGGCTCTACAGTCGATGTTACCAAGTAGGTATCTTCTGCTGATCATTGTGACTGATGAGACGTTTTGTTGCCGACATTCCTGACTTGATGAGGAGATCCGAATTTTGAGAGCTAGATAATTCGGAAGTCTAGTCGTCGAAGTTGATGTCGTCGTATATGTGCTTCTTTGTGTCAAATACTTGTACTGAAGAAACTTGCGCTCGATCTGGTCTGCTGGTTCAATGTTGATACGACGGTCAAAACTCCAAGCGATCTAAAAATGTTCCTCAGTCTCGTTCAGCTTCACCGAATGTGGTCCACTCGTTTTCTGTGGCAATTTCTTGTCGTATCAGATAAAAAATTTTGGTAAATTATATATATAATATTATTTACCAAATCCGTTGTCGAATGATCGGACGCGCGCTATTTGTTCACCTCGAAGAAAGACGGCAGGAACCGAATGTGCACTGATTACAGAGCACTGAATAGGGTCACTATCAAGACGCGTTACCCCATCACGCGCACCAATGAACTGATCGACCAACTTCGCAAAGCTCGGTTCTTCTTCAAAATCTATTTACGAGGGGGTTACCATCAGATTCGAGTAGTCGTAGCTGACTGTCACAAGACGGTGTTTCATACTAGGTACGGGAGTTTCGAGTATGTAGTTATGCCCTTCGGTCTGACGAACACTCCGGCAACTTTTCAGATGGCCATGAACCAGATCTTCAGTTCACTCGTTGATAAGTGCGTTATAGTTTACCTAGACGATATCCTGATCTACAGCGAGACCCAAGAGCCACGCTTAAAGGACCTCGAAGCAGTTTTCACACTACTGCAGGAGCATAGGCTGCTCGAGAAAGGGTCTAAGGGCGGTTTTTTAAAAGATCGCTTAGAATTCCTCGGACATGTGATTTCCACTAAGGGTGTCGAAGTGGACCCGCACAAAATCGAAACAGTACAAGCCTGGCTACGGCCTACGAACTTGCAGGAGCTGCGAAGTATTTTTGGTTCGTCAACTATGTTCGGCGATTTATTCCGAATATGGCAGGGGTTACTGCACCGTTAACTGGCCTGCTGTGGAAAGGGACTAAGTATAGGTGGGGGGAGAAGGAGCAAGCTGCCTTCTCTACGCTCAAAACTTTTCTGTGCTCAGCCCCTGTCCTTCGCATCGCCGATCCTCACCGTCCATTCGAAGTACAGTAACGGAAACAATTGTCCGAATGTTTTGCATTAACTAGAGTATTTGGTCTTTCCGACCACTCTACTTAAAGTCTTAATGTTTAATAGTGGTATGCTTTGGGAGGGGCACATAGTGGATGTGTTCACAGCGCTAAAATCCATAATAGTACATTGGATCTAACGTAGTGCTAAACGATATACAAAGAGTGCATCCGAACACTTGTTTCCTAGGACAAAAAAACAATTTTCCGAATAGCGTTTCTAGTACCTAGTCCATCGACCCTTGGCCTTGATCACCACCCGCACCCTCCTAGGCATGTTATCTGCGTGGTTAGTGCAAACCTTTGCATGGATCTTCTTGCACTCATCCTGGACCCACCCTTTTGCATAAGGGGGTGAGCACTAGGAAAATCGCGAAGGATATTGGAAACGAAGTATGATAGAATGTGATCTATTAGACCTTGCTGAGGTGTGATCAAAGATGCCATTAGCCGATTGGTCCCGTCTTTTCCGCATACGAGTCACGAAAGCTGCACCCGCCCGAGTGAAACTATCCGATACACGACAAGGAGATACTCGTGATCGTGCACACGTTCAAAGTATGGTGGTGCTACCTGGCGGGCACAGAGGTGATAGTATGGACAGACCACCAAAGCCTTCAGTACATCTGCGCACAGCCACTACGCAACCCACGACAGATTTGGTGGTTGGATTTTATGGAGTCCAACATCCATTACACGGTCACGTACAAGAAAGGGGCATCCAGCATCGCAGACTCTCTTTCTCACCCATCCACCCATCCCTATTCCATAATCCTCGCCCAAACTTCCCCACTATTAACATGTCTATTCACCCACAGGTACCAGACGGACACATTCTTCATGCCATGGGTGTACAAACATATCACAGCAGCTAAGGGAGTTTATTACGTAAAGACAGGGACTAACCGCATCTGGGTACCAGAGTAGAGTCTACTACGGGAATTACTGTTGCGAGAAGCTCATGACAGTACAGTTTCGGGGCACTTCGCAGTGGAGAAAACTAAGCAGTAGTTGACCAGATATTATTTCTAGCCCGACATGAAGGGGACATGCAACGAATGTAGCTTCGTGCAGATCTTGCCAAACCATAAAATCATCAAAGTAGAAGCCAGCTGGACTGTTGCAGCCGATTCCACCGCCCGACCTCGCGTGGTAGCAAGTAACGATAGATTTCGTCACAAGATTGCCTGCCAAGGACGGCTGTAATGGCGTGATATTCGTCGCCGTCAATAAGCTGACATAGATGGCCCACTTTGCCGCCTGCAAGAAGAGCATCTCAGCTGAAGAGACAGCCCGCCTCTTCATCGCAACCGTCTTTCGCCTCCACGGAATCCCATCCGCCATCATTTCAGATCGTGACACAAAATTCACCAGTAACCTCTGGGAACATTTTGGCACACGCCTGCAATTCTCCTCCGCCTACCATCCCGAGACTGACGGACAGACCAAACGAACCAATCAGACAATGGAGCAGCTGATTCGTGCCACCTGCGATGACGTGGCCGACTGGGAGCAGCAACTGCCACTAATTGATTTCGCGTATAACAACGCCCCGTCAGCCACAACACGACAGTAACCATTTTACCTGAACTACAGGCAGAGCCCTATAGTACCGATCACGCCCAACCCTGAAAATGCAGTACCATAAGCCCAACAGTTTGCCGAAATCTTACAGAATGCCCGAGAGCAAGCAGCCGAAGCCATTAAGCGCGCGAATGTAATTTTTAAGTGTAACGCCGATCTATACCAACGAGCAGTGACGTACCAGGCTGGAGACTTAGTACTGCTCGACACCCAGAACCTTTGACTGCCCATCGTCCCAAAACTCCGCCCCTGCTACTATGGATCACTTACCATCAGCCATATGATATTTTCCGTTACATCCCACCTACTGTTACCGACCACTTGGAAAGTCAACCCATCATTCCATGTGCGATTACTTCGATCATACATCGCCGGCACCAGTAAGTTATCACGACACTGAACGGACCCGAACATTCGACCGCTCGCCAAGCCTACTGTCGAACCTGCGAATGTTCTCAGCCATCGAATCACGGATCCTCCAGGGGCTCGCCTGATCGAGTTTCTGATATCTTGGAAGGACAAGACGGCCCTAGAAAACAGTTGGGTGCCCCTGGCACAAATCGAGAATTACCCAATGTTAAGGGTCTACCTCCTGTCTCGCAATGTGCGCGACGTTGGCGGTCTTAGCTAAGACCATACCTTGGAGGGGGGAGGGTGTAAGGAAATGATATTTCATTTTCACAGGGTTTATTCAGTAAGGTGTACACTGCTATAACAAGGTTGCCGCGCAGCTCTACCTTGAAATTCAAATCGCGGTCCCAAATGTGGTCTCCTAACGAGCCGCATACATTGATGCCCGCCTTGCTGTTGCATGCCTAGATATGGGTGCTCCGCGCTATTTTAAGAACCACACATTGCAGCTCTACCGTGCCACGACCGTGTGCTCCTAGGCTAGCTATATCCATGCTCCCTGTTGTTTTGATGTTGCCGAAGTTGTATTGTTACTCGTTAGTCAATCCTTCGTTGTAGCTGTTTTCTTGTCACTACCCTGTTACACCTTCCGTGACGCGGGCTGTGGACTCGGAGCTCAATTTCACAAAATGAGCTCACGGACTGAGGGAGGGCACATTGAGCCAAACGTCGCCTGCCCTTATTGGCCAGCCCTACCAATTTCCTTCGTGCATGGCCAGCCCAAAAAGGCTACCCTTGTTGACCCATTGGCTGCGTTCTACAGGCAAAAAAGGAAAGTACATGTTACATCAGAGCACCTTACGAAAGCGAGAGATTTTGCTTCGGATCGAGGGTCAGCCCGCAAAATTTCGCCCAAACCTGGCACAAGGTACCCGAACCAAGTTACACCTACAGATGACATCTACGTCAGGGAAACACCCCCCTCGCTTCCCCCTTTGGCAAATCTGACGCAAACTTGACGCAACGCTGACGTTCGCTCAATCGCGGAGTTCACCTTGCGTGTGGCGTTACATCAACCGCAAGGGTGTACTAGGCCTCCACACCCCAAAAATACAACCGCCACCACTTTACCCCACCTCGCGAACCTGAGCCTGCCCTGCAAAAAAACAGCAGCTGAACAAACACATCGCCAAAGCGAGTCATATCACCTCCAACAGCACCACTCTTTCGACCTACTCTGTGGGGGTGTGAGGGCATCTCAACAAACCCTAGGTTCTTTTTTCGTCATTCTGCCCCGGAATAATTCTCAGCTGCCTTGGGGCAGCAGGTTTTTGTTGCGCAATTTTGAAATTCGCTCCTCTCCTTTCGCTTGCGCTTACCAAAATTTGGCCGCGTGGCTTCCAAGCGAGGTTTGGGAAGTGCACCTGGTTTGGGTGGTAACCAGTGCTCTTGAAGTCGCTCGAAGAGCTTCCTCAATGTCGACCTCGACGTCAACGTCAAATGCCTGCAGAACTCAGCCGTTATTCTTACCCCTCAGTTCCTTCCTCGCACCCCCACCCAACCACCTGGGTTCTCGTTATCACAATGTCCGCCACTTATTTGCATCGTGGCCCCGTCCCCGTCCCCGCACCCCGCAATGCGCCCCCTCCGCCTGCATCCGAAGCCCGCGCGAGCGTAGTAGTCGCGCAGATATCCCCCCGCATAGTCACCCTGAGATTCCGCCGCTCGCAATTCCTTCCAGTCGAGTCGCGCGCGCAGCGAAAGGCCGCGATCTCTAGTCATTCTCACCCCTCCGTGGCCGCGGCGCCGTCCGCAATTTCGGGAGCGCGATGCGGTTCGTCGGCGACGGCGCTACGTGCGGCAGATGGTGACGTGGCGCCGACGAGTACTAGTACCAACGGCGGGTCGAGCGGATTTGATATACGGCGCGTGGAGCAATACACCGAGAGAGTAGGTGGTAGCGTAGCCATGCCTCATACGTGGCAGGGTAGCCTTATTAGTGACAGGGGAGAGGAATACTAGGTGAGTCGGCGAATCTAATCGCAGCGGTCTAAAGCATCGCTGGAAGGGCGTGCCGGCACCGGCCTGCTAGTGTTGGTACCAAGGGAATAGAGCCGGGGGCCCTGGCAGCGGGTTCGGTGTGAGCGAATGGGTGAGCGATGGGTGTATGTGTGGCGTGGAGGCTCCGTGCCGTCATTCCGAGCTGTGCAAGGTCGGGGTGGGATCTACGGCCCAGCTATGACGTTGTTGCGGCAGATGCCCCACGCAACGCCGCGCGTTTTGGAGCCGTGCGATGCTGTGTGTCGTGGAAACTACCCTCACTGGTGTGCCCCGTGCCAGTTGTGTGTGCTTGTGAATGTGTGTGTGTGTGTGTGTGTGTGTGTGTGTGTGTGTGTGTGTGTGTGTGTGTGTGTGTGTGTGTGTGTGCTTGTGAATGTGTGTGTGTGTGTGTGTGTGTGTGCTTGTGTGTGTGTGCGTGCGTGAGTCTGTGAGTATGACTCTGTGTGCGTGTGCGCGTGCATGCATGTGCCATGGGTGCAGGTGAAGGGGGAGGTGGTGGTACTCAACGCCGTGGTGGATGGGGAGGATGACCAGGTCGTCGTCTTCAGGGTGAGACCAGCGCTCACCTCAGCACTCGCCACCGATGATACACGGCTATCAGTGCGCTTAGATCAGAAGGGCAGGCAATGCGCTGCCCATGGAATGTGGCACAGCGATGTGATGTGCCTCCTTGAGAGCGCTCGTAGACCTGCTAGCAAGATGTTTCTTCTTTGATTAGGCAGGCCACTTTCCTCACCACCCGCCAGGTTGACTTCCTGTCTTTTCACCACAAACTACTGTTGCTTAAACCGATGGCGTGAATCTTTACTTCCTCCCCTTGTTCCAATCCCCCCTCTTTTTACCAAATGTCCCCCTTCCTTCACCTAAGTTGGAAAATACGTGTTTTGCGTATGATACGCTAGTGTGTTTATGCTAGCGTTCATACGAAATACTCTAGGGTCCAGGTTTAAATACGCTAGGGAAATACTCTATGGCGGGGAGGTGAATTTTTCTCGGGGCAGACAAAAAAACAGTTTTGGTTGCAGGTTGGTTGGGTTTCCTAGACTGTGTGGGGTGGGGTGTGGTTGGGCGCTTTGGCGGGGTTGGTAAGTTGTTTTGAAAGCCAAATTCGCAAATTCGTGAGAAGCCGAGACCTCTGGTTGGAATCGCCAGTTTGCGATGTGTCGACTTTTTTTTCTCTCTCTCTCGAAAACAAATGGCCAGGCTCAAAACCCTGTGCGCATTTGCGTTTTTCTGTGCATATTGCGTATTGCGCATTCACGCATGCGTTTTTACGCAAAACGCTTGCCTGCCTGAGCGTATTTTCCAATTTTGTCCTCCACTTCCCTTCCCCTCGCTACCATTCACCACCACCCACCTGTCCTTTAACACCTTGTTACGCTACACCCACCCAACTCTCCTCCACCTCTCTGCTCACCCTGTACCCCCCTCAGCCCTCGCACTATCCACCCACACTCTGCGCATCTTATTTCAGTTGACCACTGGAGGAGCAACTTCTCAACCCTAGCCAGAATCTTATGGCTCTCTTTCCAGATCTCAACCCTCCAATTTTCACTCTCTATTTTCTCATCGCCACTGGTGTCTCTTGTGCCTTTCTCTCTCTCCACCCATCTTCTCCCAAACACCCGCCCTCGTTTCATCTCCCACCTTACGCAATCCCCCCGTCCCCTCCCTCCCTCCCACCCCCTAACCCCCCCCATCCTTCTCAGGGTTTCTCCTCGTCCCTAGTGCTTGCTACACCCTCGGACCCCTCGAACCCTGTCCTGCCCGCATCGGCCACCATCACCTCAGTGGACCGGGTGAGGGGCCCCTTCAACCCTGTGCGCATGGAGTACATTCAGCAAGACATGCGCTGGGAGGACTTTGACCAGCTGCTGCAAGCCATGCACCTCTGACCAAGCACATGTGCTGCCTTACCTGTAATGCGCCGAGTAAAAGCTTAGAGGTAGTAGTACCGTTTGAGTTTTTTAAGCACCACGTTCCCAAGAAACGAAGATTTGGTGGAGGTCAAGGATGTAATAATTTGACAGGTGTTGCAGAAGACTAAGTATAAAATCTGCAACCACAAGTATTTAACCAAGGATCTTTGCTGGAACGGTAGACTAGTAAGACAGCGGAAGTCTTGTAAGAATGAACCTGAGTGTATGTCTCAAAGTTGAAATCTCAAGGTTAATAATAAAAAGGACACAACAAAGATTTATAGCTCTAGGAAAGTACCTATTCGCTAATGTACCTGTTCGTCACTATCACGATATGCGCCCTAGATGATAATGAAGAGGTGCGACTATTCGCGTGACTGAAACGACTGTCCTATGACGAGCGCTATTTGCTGACGTCATCCTACGGACTTATCTTCTACAGTGGGATTCGACACTATCTATCGATAAACGACTTACAGAAATGCTAAGTATGAAATATACCACAACACTCCCCTTCATTTCTGGAAGTCCGATAGAGTCACGTCTTGAAGATCCCTCAAATCTTGTTACAATATTGAAACTTCTGTCGTGTCAGCTTCTTCGTGAGAAATCGGCAGCCATTTCGTTGGTCGAACAATAGACCAATCGCATCCTCCCCTTCTCGACTTCATCCTTGACGAAAAATTAACGCAGAGAAATATGTTTCGTCCTGTTGACGAAACCAGGCTGGTGCGCGATGCGAATCGCACTTTGGTTGTCGCACTGCAGGGTAAACAGGGTACGTCGTCAATCTCGCTTCTTCCAATAGTTCCTGCATGTAAAGTCCTTCGCGTGTTGCTGTGCAGACAGCGATGAACTCAGCTTCAGCGGAGGAGAGAGCAATCAACTCCTGCTTCGTCGAATTCCAAGAAATAGGTCCAATAGGTTCAAGCCGGTAGATGAATCCAGTGCGCGTTCGTCGATTAGTAGAGTCAGCAGCGTGATCGGCGTCGACGAAACCGTGTAGGTATAGTGTTTTGCAACCGATGACGTTGTAGACTTAACCGATGTTAGGTGTCGAGATGAAATACTGAAGCGCGCGGAGAAGATCAAGCTGATGCTCCTCTTCACGACGGCGTAGGAACTGAGCGAGCTGACTGGCCGCGTAAGCTCGATCGGGACGACAAGTGACAACGACGAAAAGTAGACAGCCTAACTGCTGTTGATAGATCTGTAAACCGGTTGAATTTAACAGTGCAGTGTTCGGTTTGTGGTCAGTCGGTAGTGAGCGGTACAGTGTAGAGACTGCAGTAGGAGTGAGGTTGAAGCAGGCAGCAAGCGTTGCTGCGTACTTCGAAGCAGTGAGATGAATAGACGTTGGTGAACAGGTAATGTTTAGACCAAGAAACTGTGAGACTGTTTCGGAGACGGTAAGCTGTAGAATTTTCCGTAGTTTCAGTATGAAGATATCGGCAAGAGAATCGGTAGTACTGACGTAGAGGATATCGTCAACGTAGGCGATGGGTAAAATATAGTTGCTGCCGTCAGTCAGAAGATACATTCCCTGGTCATGCGGTAGCTGACGAAATCCGGCAGTGATAAGCTGTGAGTGAAGGTACTGCTGCTAGAGCCGGGGTGCCTGTTTAATGTTGTATAGCGATTTTCGGAGACGGCATACGCTCGGTGGGTTAGTAGCATAGGAATGCGGGTACTCTACCATAATGAGTGTGTTGACAGGCGCGTAGAGAAACACATTTGACACGTCGATTTGTCGAAGTCGGAGATTACGGCAGGCGGCGACACAGAGTAAAATCCGCACGCTTGTATGTCGACCAACAGGAGCAAAAGTTAGTTCGTAGTCGATGCCGTAAGTGTGCTCGAATCCGCGGACGACCCATCGCGCATTGAATTTCTCAAACGACCCATCTGCATTAGTTTTGACGCGGAAGACCCATTTTCCGGTAAGTACCTTCTTCCCTTTGACTTCTGAAGTCGGTATTAAATCCCATGTGCCACGATTCTTAAGAGCTGCTAGCTCCTTGTCCATGGCTTCGCGCCATTTTTCTCGGTGAGGACTCGTAAGAGCCTGTCGAACGGTTTTCGGTTCAGGTATCTTACTGTCGTCGTACTGTATTGCTACTGCAAATCCAAGTATCTGTAAGCCGGTTTTTGTAAAACGCGGACGTTCCTCGTTTGCACCTGCGAAATTTTCTTCTGGTCCTTCTTCCCCCCCAATTTCGTCAGGTGTAACACGAACTGCTTCGTCGGAGACAGCGGGCATCGGCTGCTGTTGGCGATCGCGTTTGTAACTGAGGTGAACTTCGCGAACATCATCCTGGTCAGCATCTGCAAGAGGAATAAATTCAGGTATGCTGGTCGAGGTGACAGGTTCGGGAATGTTTGTTGCGGCAGCTTCGGAAGCTTCAGAAACATCCTCCCCCTGTACATCAGCTTCGGCTTCGTCAGATGCAAATGCACGCGGGCCTTCGAACAGCCTGGCGGGGTTGGCAGCTGCTGCCTGGTGGGCACGAAAAATGGGCAAGGCGAGTCTTTCATAGAAGAGACAATCACGTCATGGGACGATTTGGTTGGAGCGAAGATCCAAAATCTTCCATGCGTGATACTGTTTTTCGATGCCCAGGTGTACCCCCCATTTTGCTCGTTCGGAAAATTTGCCGAGTGCTGCAGTTGGAGGACGAAACTGCATGAGACACTTGAAAACTCGTAAAAGTTTGGTACTTCCCACTATACGTGTCCACTGCAGGTGTGGAGAAGAGAACTCGGACAGGAATGTTGAAGAAAGAAGGTTGTGTAACAGCACGGCGTGGTCCATCGCATACGACCAAAACCGAGGAGGAAGAGCTGCCTGCGTCAGCAGAGCACGCATCTTCTCTTGCAGAGTTCGGTTGATCCTCTCTGCTACCCCCATCTGTTGGTGTGTATGCGGCAGTGGCTGCTTCCATTTGATGCCGAGAGTCTGAAGCTATTCTGTGAAAGTGTTGCTGGTGTACTCCCCTGCACCATCACTCTGGAATTCTTGCAGTTTCACGCCAGACTCTCGTTCAGCGACGACGAGCCATGCGACAAAGACGGAATGGGCGAGATAGCGAGCGGGAAGGTTTGCTGTCCAAATGTAGCGTGTAGATGCTTCGATGAATGTTATTACGTACTGCTCCTCTTTAGGTCCTACTTCAGGTAAGTTTAGTATGTCGCTGTAGACTTTTTGTATCAGTTTATAACGTGTTGAGCCAGGAAAATGACTTGGAAACGGATCGTGAGTAAGGTTGGCAACCGGACACGTGGTGCAAACCATGGGACGGGACTGCGGCTTCATCTCCGTGCCGTCAGGTAAAAGAAGACTGCCTTTTTCCAGAACTGCTGCTCGTATTGAATGATTAAGAATCCACTACGATGGATGTCCTAACCGCTGATGCCAGATATCTTCTATGGCTTTGTGTCCTGATGATCGCAGGTAGAAATCGGCGTTAGTATGGAAAGAAGAAATGATAAAAGGAGAAAGCGCTGGTGACCTGTCAACTTCTCCTTCAACGAAATGTGTAAGTGGTAACGGAACATTTGAAGGTGCTGTTGCAGTTGCGATTGCAACTTTTGATGCTACTTCAGTTGATGTTGTGGCAGGTGTTTCGGCGATAGCTACTGTTGAACACGGCTGCTCGGTGACTTCTTCCTTTTCGGCTTCTTCAACGACGTCAGGTTCATCAGCTGCAAGTCCACTAATTTCTCCCCAATGTGGTGCTGGAGTTCCTTGGAAGGCTGCACGGGTATTATAAAACGTTCGCCACGCGGTGGCGCTTTCATCGGCGGTATTGAACTCCCAGGCATCCAATGCGGTAAGTACGGCGACTGCAGTTCGAGAAGCCGTTGGTACAGTAGTTGCTCGAAAGTCAATATCCACGTGCTGATAATCTGTTTCTTCTGGGTGATCCCAGGGACCAAGTGCAAGGACGCGTTCAGAATCTCCAGAAGTTTCTTGTGCCGCGAATTGAAGAACTGACACGCCATGCTGAGTAGCGGCACGACCAAGGTAAGTATTCGTTGGACTGTGCCATAACTCCTGGTCCATCGTTTCACAATTGCCCTGTGTGCGAATCTTGTGAGCCAGGAGCTGAGCCGTGGAGAGAAGATTGAATCCAAGGCCGGCGACGGTATGATCATTGGTAACATGGAGTGAGTATCCCGTGTCGATAGATTCGAGCATGACACTCCCAACAGAACGTGCCATAATAGTTTGTCCGTTTGCGACTGTGACAGGTATCGGACGACGAAGTGGACGCTGGTTGGTGATGAAGCTTGTTTCAGTGGAGCAAATGTGCCACCCGCAACAGCTGTCGAGATAACAAATATTCGGACCTGAAATTATTCGAGCAAGGTTAGCGTAAACTTGAGGTAAGGGAATGCCTTCAGCACTAGTGGTTTCTTCAAGTCGTGTCTCAAAACCTGTTTCTGAAGCATCAACTGTGGTAACACATCCAAAGACACCTTTCCCTGATGTTGCAGATGCAAAGACCGGAGGATGATGTTGTGATGGCGACGGATTCTGCGGCGTTTTCGGCATCTGCTGTGTTTGGGTAGTCGACTGCTGCGTGGGCTGATGTTGCTTTGGTAACTGCTGCGAGCGATGATACGGCTGTGAAGTGCTGCGACGGTTTTGATGTCGACTGCGACAATTCTGGTAAGTGTGTCTTGGTTTCTTGCGAAAATGGCAAAAGGGATATTTCGGGGGATGACGATGGTGCGATTCTGGATTTGAGTAAAAACTCAAGTGTATCCCCTTTTTCAGATTGCGTTGTGACTGCAGGTCCAGATCTTGCTGTTCGGCTTGAAGATGCGAAGAAGACTCAACTTCAAAGAGATTTGGATTCACGCGAAAGAAGGTGCGCGTCTGTCGCCATTCGGGTCCAAGGCCACCAAGAAGGACCATGAGATACATCTCACGAGGGAAGTATCCCCCACTCTTCTCTTGTTGATCACGTAGTATGCCAACACGGTTGACATAGTCCATGCCGTTTTCGTTTGTCATCATCTGCACACTTGTCAACTCCGAACGAATCTTACTCACTCTTATTGTATCTCTTGCCATGTGTGAGAGGACGACCACGTTCCATTCCTTTATCCTTTCCATTTCATTCCTCTTTCCATCTTGATCCATTTGGTTTTTATCTCATTCCATTTGGATTCCTATTTCTCCTTTTCCATAAACCTTTGGTTTATTTGGTTATTATCATTATAT